ATCTAAGGCAGCGTTTCTCAAACTGTGGGGCGCGCCCCCCTAGATGGGAGTGATAACTTTACAAGGGGGGCGCGAGCATATTGAAAAACTGAAGACAAAAGATTGTTTAACAAATTATTTACTTACTGAAAGTAAACAAAGAAAATATATTCTGGCATAGTAAACAATAAAATACATATTTACTCTGATATAATATACTAATAAATGTACTGTACATCGTGTTTTATAATTAATTTAACATTACTAAGTTAAGAACAAGTTTATTAATTATCAGTGACCCCATGGGCTTGTCCTGTACAAAATTAAATACAAAAATTAACACGTATCTTGATAATTTGAACGGCTTATATTTAAACCCTTAACTGTCAATTAAAAGTTACGCGATTTGCTCCCCAATGCCACCACGTAGGTGCTCGTATGTGATGTATTGGGGGAGGAGAAGAAAGGGAATGAACAAATTCTCTGAAATAAGTGAACCCTTTGCAAACGCTGTAAAGGTCCTTTTATTGCATTCCAAATCCCTCGGAATAATTTTATGGATAGCAGTGCACAATAAAGATCATACTTCAGAAAGACGTATATATATGTCCGGGGCAATTAACGCTTTGGATGAGTTAAGAAAACATTTGGTGGCAGAAGTCGTATTGTAGCTTTAGCGTCAAAGTTTTTTTAATTCAATATATTGCTTTAATATGGGGGGTGATGAAAACTTTGAATATTGGGTCGCAACTATTGAAAGTTTGAGAAACACTGATCTAAGGTTTGGCCTACATTTTCTTTGTATGCTGATTGGTTGGGCATTGAAGACTTTTTTAGTGGTGTGGTCTTCATCCATTCTGACAACGTGACCTGCCCATGTAATTTATTATAAAATCGAAAAAAACTGAGGACGTTGAACTGAGTACATATTAAAATGAGTTTTGAGACTTTATTTGGTAATACCTCACAGTAATAATATGAACAGAAAATATGTGTTGTAGATGGAAAATCGTTATTATATATAGTTTGATTCATATTAATTTCACATATAAAAACTACACAAAGCTGTTGGTGAATGACTTTTTAAATATGAATTAAGGTCATTTTGGGAAAATTGTATTAGAGATGTTATCTAATTCTTCTGATTTTCCATCATCTATGAAAAATTTGAGTGGATGCGAGTGATCTGGGATGATATAAGCAGCAACGTAGCTCTCATTCCCATATCTGAGATTTATGATGTTGCAACGAAGAAGGTTGAGCTTGTCAGGCTGCGAGTGGCTTCATAGTGATTGGTTGAGGCGATGAGATCTGGAAGGCGTGCCTAAAATATTCTTACTTCGACTTCAAAATTTGAGTTCCTATCAAAGAGAGCTGAAAGGCTTCTCTTTGATAGGACGACAGTGGGTAAGGAAAAGAGCTCTCATTGGCTGCCCAGAAGATGAAAGAAAATTGTATAAGATAATGTTGATGGGGCAATCGATGGAATAATTTTAAATCATTGTAGGAAAATAAAGTGATGGGGATTGTACAAAAAAATTTTGAGACTCAAATCTGTTCAATTTATAGATATCTCGCTCCTATTATTTACCCCAATGGGTCTGCAGTGAAACCATTTTTCAAACCCACGACTTGAATGGAAAACATCGCCATTCATAAAGTCTTGTTTCCGATCACTGGGTTAAACCGTTCTTTAAAATTATTATTGCCAGCAATAAGTAATGCAGTAATATTTTATCAAAAATAAAAAGGAAGACAAAAAAATAATAAGACACTTTTTTTATTACTGTAAAAAATATTGGCTCTCAATATTCAGAAAAATATAACTTAAAATCTTAATATACCCTGTATTGTTATTTGAATGTTACAAAAAAATGGTATCAGTATCATTACCTAATAAAAGACAAATGTTTCTTGTAGAAAACATTAAACCTAATAGTTCAAAACAATATAATGCATTAGTAATAGCAATTTTGCATGATGATCGTATATATATTGCTGCAATATTTGTCAGTGCTTCTTTTAAAAACAAACAAACCTTGTTTTCATAATGAATTCCTTTATGCATATATTACACTTAATGTACATTAAAATGCATCAGCACAAATACTTAGTAAATAACAAAAATTCAAAAACAACTAGCACAGAAACCATACACGACCCATAAAAGGTTACAACCCTACTAGCTTCACTAATCTTCTACTCAATCGCTAAGTCACAGAGTATTTTTGCATGAAAGGCAATATTCAAATGAGATGGTCTTCACTCATGCATAGAAACTAATGATTCCTCTACATAGAATTGGTTAAAATAGTAGAGGTTGAAACTATAAGTTCTGAATAGAGAATGTATAGGTCACTCCACGTATTAGACCGGATCAGTCGCCCATTTCTGCTGAATTTCATTATGAGAGAAAAATTAAAACAGAAATTCGATTGAAGTGATTTATAGAATATGCCAGAATAGACTAGATCAATATTTAAGAATATTATTCGTATAATTCAGAATCAGTTCAGTTATATTAATGATTTTGATGAACAATATTTTATACTATGTAAGTGAAATTATATATATTTACTAGCTGGTATACCCATTCTTTACACGAGTGAATTAAAAAATTAAGATGTCTCAGGGGTGTTAACTTTGTCTCAAGGGGTGAAAATATAAACAATTTTCAAACAGGTATAATTCTTTTAAATTTAAATTAAATAATTCAAATCTTTTACACATTATTTCCAAAGGATTATAGCTTCAAAAAAGAACAAAATGTTTGAAATATAATAATTTAAAAAATTCTAAGCACATGAAAATATGTAATAAATATTAAATTTTTGCGTTGCACACGCTATTTTCTAAAATAGTAGTCTCTGATGTATAAAACTTTATAGAATTATAAAATGTACCTTACTCTTTAAACCCTACATCATTTAAGAATAATGTGTATCTTTTGTATTTTAAAATATTTGAAAAATATTGAAACTTTTTTAAAAACTTTTGAAAATTTAAATTTTTTAAAAAATGTAGTTTATTATTCTACTCATACAAAATTACTACAGTGTAATAAGGATATATTTAACTTTATAAATCAACTTATAGCTAGTAATTAAAGCTACTATTTCAGAAAATAGCATGCGCAGCGTAAAACTTAATATTTCTTATAGAAATGTTTCTTATTTTCATATGCCTATAATTTTTAAAATTATGATTATATTTTAGACATTTTATACTTTTCTGAAGCCTCATTCCTTTATAAATAAGGTGTAAAAGATTTGAATGATTTAATTTTTTTAATTTCAAAGAGTTATAAATATTTGAATATTGTTTATATTTTCAGCCCTCTGGAGAAAGTTAACACCCTTGAGACCTCTTAAACAATACAGACTGAATGATAAAAAAGGTTTTAATGATTAACTTTACGTGGATTGCAAATTAAACCAAAAAAATGCTTTTTGCATATCTCAGCTGAACAAAAAAACCCACATTTGTTAAATTTTGAGTCTGTGGATCTAATAGCTGATAAAAAGGATTTATTTTATTTATAACAACCCTTAACTCTCTTTTGGGTCGATTTTTGAAAATACCTTCCTAAGCTGATCTTATCTCAGCAAAAGTAACACATTGTTACAAATTTTGTGTCATGAACGCTTAAAATAGTGTAATTTATATCTGGATGTGTAATACGTTAATTTCTGTTGCATTTATTTTATACTAAAATTGTAATATTCGCAAGCAACGCCGTTCCTTACATTATAATGGCGATTCAATGGAAACATGGAAATATGTTGGCGATGGAGCCATGTTGGCATCATTTTTGGTGACCCTTTTGGCAACTTGGCGATTGATTAAACGGTGCAAAACTTTATATGCTGTAGCGCCACCTGCTGAGGAGCTGCAACAAAGAGGATAGCACAAAAACGTTTTCTGCAAAAAATACATAAACATGCCAATTTTTATGGTGAACAGCTGAACGGTGTTAGAATGAAGCGAGGTCATATATACAAACATCCATTTTTATATAGAGAGATATTCTTTACTATATTACTAAAACATAGCAGATAGCTTCTCTATTAATTGGAATACTATTAGCATTTTAAATTCGTTTTTTGGATTTAAATTCGCTGTTTTATGCAAACAATCAGCGAGAGTAAAAAGAGTAAAAATTTATTAAAAAAGGTTGAAAATGACGAAAATCACATCTTGGAATTCTATGTCTAATCTTTATAAAATGAATATTCAACTCCATTTGAAGACTGCTTTATTTAGTAAATTCTGCGTTTTAATGCATAAGGATTCAAAAATTTTGCAACTGAAATGAATAAAAAATAATTGTATGATAAAGACAAAAATTTGTGTCAAACTTTAACTGCCTTTATGCTTCGAATTATTTTTGAGAAAATCTTAATCTGCGAAACTAGTAAATATTCAGATAAGAAATTTAAAATGTTTGAGGTTATCCTGATAAAAAGTTCTCTTTAGATTTTCTTTTAATATTCTTTCTTATCACACCCATTATATAAAAATTATCTTGGACAAAGTAGACTTCCGAAATACTACAAATAACAAAAATTAAATCGGGTAGAAAACTTGCATGGGTTTTATTCTTGTATTAAATTACGTTCCATTCAATACACTAATCTCTGTATGGAACAACACGGAAAAACTCTACAAGATCAACATTATGTTTTATAATGAGCTCAAGTTGGTTAGTTCGACAAGAATGTTAAAAAAAACAAGTATAATAATAAAAAAATTAAAGTCAATTCCTACTTATGTGAACGAAGAAAAATTTTATTTTAGTTTTTTACTAAATAATAACAATTAATATAAATATGTACATACACATGACAGAATCGCAATATTAAGAGGCAAAATAGAAAGCGATTTTTCTTGGAAATTTCCATTTTCCTTTCTGTATAGGGCGTTTGATTATTATTTTTTGTTACTATTTTTTCATTAGTTAAATTAAATTATTCTAATAAAATAGTTCAGTAAAAAAGAGATCACATTCTCAGAAATTATGCCATTCCAGATGGGATTCAAACTCATGACCTTTGGATTAGAAGTCCAACACCCCATCCATTGCGCTACAGGAACACAACGAGCGCTTTTTCTTTTTATATATCGTGTTGGACATTAGTTTTGTTTGTCACCATTTATTTATTAATTAGATTTAATTATTGAATTAATATTTGAAAAAACTGTAATATAACATCAAGTGTTATATCCACTTCAAGTTTAAAAAATTGTATTTAAACTTGAGTGGATGAATAAAAAACTATTTTATTAACGATTCAAAAATTTTAATAATATATATATAGGGATAGTGTGGACTAATACTAGGAATTCAAAAATACAGGGAATCTTCTTACCTCAATTGGTTATCGATCTGTGTACAGTAGTTAAAATGTAAAAATATTAAAAAGTATTTTTGAGATACATTAGTAAATGAATAAGTTACACTTGATCGCCTGACATTTTTACAATTTTTTCAAAAAAGATATAATTTATAGTTTAAAAAATAAACAACTAAACTATTCATTAACCTTTTCACTACTAAGGGAAAAAATTTCCGTGTTTTAAAATTGACGATTGTTGTATTTAATAATAAGCCGCTCTGTGTTTTTGATACAGAAAGTCAAAATAGAACGAACACGTGTTGAACGCAAATGCTTAAATATGAACGCTTTGCAAATAAATAAATAAAAAAAAATTTTTAAAAAAAGGCTTTTCTAAGCGAAAAAACTCCTATTTTCTACAAGAACCATATTTCTCTTTATGATTTTGAATTATTTAAAGTCTAAACAAACTAAAATAAACATTACATACCAATATTTATTTTTAGCAATCTCTACAGGTTATCACTTTTTTTTCATGATGTAGAACTTCGCAACGCTCTTTTATTTATTTTTTTATTGACCTTACAGAACGAGTAACATCATTCCTCCTCGTAGATAGTCAGAAACTTCTCAAGATATATGAAGGTTTCATTTATATTATTGACAATCGAAGTTTTAATTATAAATTCGTTTCATGTTTTTTTCCTCCGTTTGATTCTATTCATTTTTTTGGAATTGAATCAAGTGTCCCCTTTGACAAAGATTCTGAAAAAAAACACAATTTTTTATCATCTTCATAAATTTTACCTGTCTTCGCGCGATTCACGTTCATTATAGAGTATTTTATAATACATAATGCACTGGTGTAGCTAGTCCTGAGAGATCCCTGTATCGAAATTCCTTGGTGGCTCTTTGTTGGGATTCCTTAACATTTTACGATTTCTTGTTTCTGCCTTTTGGAGCCCCTGAACCTAAGGTGATATGGCTATAAGTGATATGGCTATAAGTGATATGGCTATAAGTGATATGGCTATAGTGATATGGCTATAAGTGATATGGCTATAAGTGATATGGCTATAAGTGATATGGCAATAAGTGATATGGCTATAAGTGATATGGCTGATACGGCGGTAGCTACGCCACTGTCATACAAAATATTTTGGGCACGCCAGTAATCAAAATGGTTTGCATTTTATTTCAAAATTTCAAAGTTCACTATGAAGTATTACAAACAAACGCGAGTGGTCGGGGGCGGGGAGTACACTCGTTTGTTATTGTCTTACCTTAGTTACGTCGTAGACTGCAATTGCTTATGATGTAAAGTTTGTTTACGCATAGCATAGTAAATTTCATTGACACGACTGTATTTTAAAGTTTATCTGTGCTATATTTAAGACTTTTAACTGTTATTTAACATGGCTAGTTCAGCAGAACAACAAAACGTGCAAGTGTAACAGAGAATTTCATATTTGGTGGACAGAGAAACATGACATTAGTCGTCAAGGTGACAAAGCGGTGTGTGTTTTATGTTCTGGAATAGTGGTAAGCAGAACATTGTAAAACGGTGTTTTGAAACAAATCGTAAACCCACTTGACAAAAAAGTGAACCACAGCAAGAATAACTAATTGCTAAGGACGTTTGGTAGATAACTCAAATTCAGCATGCATTCTACAAAAAGTAACGTCTTACAATCCTCATAAAGGGTGTTTTTTTAGAGGTATAGAACTTTAAAAATTGCAATAAAACAACGATGTATTATTCGATTGACATGAATATTTTTTATTCGAAAGATAATCTTGTGGCATTACATTTTAAATATGATTTCTGGAATATATATTATTATTTTAAATATGATTTTTGGACTACATCCGAGCCAGTCGTGGCATAGGACTGCCACGGCTGGCTCGGATGTAGTCCAATCTGGACGTCCAATTTTCGATGACTTTTCCCAACATTTGTGGCCGTATATCGGCAATAACACGACGAATGTTGTCTTCCAAATGGTCAAGCATTTGTGGCTTATCCGCATAGACCAATGACTTTACATAGCCCCACAGAAAATAGTCTAGCGGTGTTAAATCACAAGATCTTGGAGGCCAATTCACAGGTCCAAAACGTGTCTTTCAATAAATCGATTGTGACACGAGCTGTGTGACATATTGCGCCGTCTTGTTGGAACCGCAGCTCCTGGACATCATTATTGTTCAATTCAAGAATGAAAAAGTTAGTAATCATGGCTCTATACCGATCACCATTGACTGTACCGTTGTGGCCTTCATCGTTTTTGAAGAAGTACGGACCAATGATTCCACCAGCCCATAAAGCGCACCAAACAGTCCGTTTTTCTGGATGTAACGGTGTTTCGACATACACTTGTAGATTAGCTTCACTCCAAATGCGGCAGTTTTGTTTGTTGACGTAGCCATTCAACCAGAAGTGCGCTTCATCGCTAAACAAAATTCGCTTATGAAAATCGGGAACAACGGCCATCTCGGTTTGGGCCCATTGACGAATCTACGCCTGGCTTGATGATCGTTTTGATGAACTGCCAAACCAAACTGAGAATAAATCACTTGACAGCTGTTAAATCGGTCGCCATTTTGGAAAGTAATGCCAACTTAAACTTCGATACCTGATAAAAAAGCACTCTTTATAAGTTATTTGTCATCCAATCAGCAAAACAGAAATCACACTGTTACTTTAATTTTAATTACACGTTTTAAACATTTATAACTATACAGTACAAAAGGTATTTTTTCGTAGTGAATGGAGTTTTGTGTGTTGTTAGTATATTTAGTTTTATTATTTCTCAATAATCACAAGTCAAAATTATTTGACAGCACGTCTATACTTCCTTAAACACTTTAGATAAAAATGACACGTTGGCTCGTAAAGGTTCGCCACCCCTGACGTAGACGAAAGCGTCGAGATATAATTTCTATGGTAAAAATTAAATATTGTTTGATGTATGGGGGATTTGAACCCCCAAACCTTCCGCTTGAGTGTGTCACAGCATAATAATAAATCTTTTTTTGTTACTACAGTACTTTTTGTGTACCAAATACCAATTTATACGAAAGTTGATAAAAATCAACTGTAAAATTTTTCAGAAAATATTTATCTCCAACGCAACTCAAACCAGCCAGCATCGAGGCGTTCTTTTGTGCGTGTCAAAAAGTAAACAAGACGAAATGAGTTGGCGTCGTCAACAGCAGGAGGTCCGGCAACACATGAATGAAGTTCGCGCAATCAGTAATAGTAGCAAAGCAGACCCCAATGACAGATGGTGCAGACCTTGCCATTTGGGATCGTGGTCAGTGGACCGGCGGTCAGGTCATATATTACCGTCCGCCGACTCGTATATCTGACTATTTATTTATGTCTGCCCGTTTAGTTGGATGGTCATTGTTATCCGCAGGTAGTCTTTATCTTGAAAATAAAAATTAATTACTCGACGTCGAGCTTTTTGGACTCCATGCAAGTTTCGACTGGATGATATTTCATTGAAAAGATGGTCGTAGCTGTAAAGAACTACAGATTGTATGGAGAAAAGAGAACAAAAGCGTTAATGACAAAATGATAATCAAAATCTGATTCAAATCATTTAAAACTGAAATAGAAGCATTGATAGCAGCTAAAAATATTTTAATCCGCATTTATTCCCCAAAAGAACACGGAATGTATAAGCCATAAGTTTTTGCTTTGAGGCAATTAAAAGAATAAAATTTTACTCAGCTTTCTTTTGTATGAGTATAGAATAAAATTTTAAATGCCCTTGGTAGCTTAGTGGTTATAGTCTCAAAATTGTGATCTGGGTGTCATGAGTTCGAGCTATGACGCCACTGAAGACCTACACCATGTAGAGAGACTGGTGTGCATCAAACCTATCCAGCAGGGCCTCTTTTCCGCTTAGGCACACTAGGCAGGTGCCTAGGGCGCAAAAAATGTACGGCGAATGAACCACCACCTAGTGAATCATGTATGCGTTGTATTTGTGTGTGTATGTGTGCGGAACACGTAATACGGAAAATTAAAAGCTTAACAGTTTGAGTTGCTATGCCCTTAAAATGAAATTACAACTTAAATTTATTACAATGATGTCATTAACGATTCTGTAATGATCAAAGCTTGAAGAAAACCTTTATTGTACAAGTTCAATGGCAGTGACTCAACAAAGAATAAGAGTGTCTAAAAGTAATAGACAGTCAAGCGATAAGCGAGGATAGATGGATAGCAGTCTTTACTATAATGTATACTCCACTCCTTCTTAAATTGTGGTCCGTGGACCCCAAGGGGTCCACGAAGGTCTCATTTAATGTTAAAAAATTACCCCTTTTTACAGACTCTGAAATGCTTCGTAGAAAACTTGAAAGAAGTGCTATCCTAGACAAGATCACTAAATATCCGCTAAAGGAAAAACTCTTAGTAAGTAAAAAATAAGTTTTTCGATCAAGACTATTAATTTAGGGAGGGGCGTTCAAAATATCGGGGGTCCACGATGTCAGGCTGATATGTTAATGGTAGCCGTGGCGAATGCAAGTTTAAGAACCCCTGGTATACTCTATACTATAATTGCAAACCATTTCATGAATTTACTGTACTAATTCCCAAAAGGGTGGACGGTCTGCGATACCGTAAGGTGAGAAATGAACAAGATTGGCCAAACCATACCATCATCCTTTCCTCATGCTGCCGGTTGCCAGTTCGGGAAGCGGCGGGATCATAGTTGGTGGATAATGAACAGACTATAAAAAGAG